TTTTTTTCTCATTATAAAAGTAATAAATGCATGCCATTAAAATATGTCAAAAATATGAAAGTATAACATTTTCAAGTTACAATGGCACTTTCCTTTTTAAAAAGAAAAAAACCCAGGGCCCTTATAGGAAGAGTGGTGTCCCTTTAGCATCCTTGATGTGGCTATGGAATTATAGAGATCCCCTTGTCATTGATTCCTTTGCTATAATTCCACAGCTTTTGGGAGGTTGGGAACCACTAGCATAAAAGAATTTTTACAATTACTTATAATTCCACCACTGCTAATATTTGGAGATTTTCTTTCTTTCTTTTTTTTTTTTAAACTAGTCTTCTATATGAAAGTAAAGTAAAACTAATTGATTGAAAACGTTATGACACTGTGAGATAATTGAAAGCAAACTCCGTATGATATTGTCAGTTCAGGAGTAGAGCCACACTTCTCCCTCTCCCCTTGAAAATAAGTCCCTGCCTTCACAATTATTATGAAGGTCTCTAATTATTTGGTGGCCTCAGAAGCGAGCTCTAAAACAATGGCTTGGGGCATCTAGGTTCCCATTCCAATTTCCTTGGAAATGGGGGTTGTGTTTGAAAGAGGAAATGTGAATCATATTCAAATCCAGCCAGTGGGCCATTACTGACAGTACTTAGAAGGGCAGAAAGAGGCAAAAAGTAGAGCCTTACTCATGACATCATTACTATTCAGCCATAGGGAATAATTCATCATTATTTCAACAGGTATTTATTGAGTGCCTTTCTAAGGCCAGATACTATACAAGTGCTAAGTCCTGACGATTCAAACTTAGAAATGTAAGTAAAAGTAATGCCCCAGTACTCAAGGAGCTCCCACAGAATTGGGGAAACAGACCCATAGATCCATGGTTATAAAAGAGTTAAGCTAAGTTTTGAAAGAACTGAAATAAGCAGGGTGGCATTTCAAACAGTTATTTATATGGTATAGACCATCAACAATTCTTATGGATGCTTACTGTAAACAACCAGTAAGTACATCAACAATTGGTTTGTTTCAGTGTGAACCAGATGAAAATCAACCCTAAAATAAGCCAGGCAAAATTGAGGAGGAGGAGAGGGAAGAGTAATCTAGTCAGACAGAACAGCATACTCAAAGGTCGCTTCTATCCGTTTTACAAATTTCTCTGCATACATGAATTGCTGAGTTGATGCCAGATGACTGCGTCGCAGACATGCATGTTGCCACAAAACAAGTGACACTGCCAGTACACAGATACAAACCTCCTACCACAAATAAGATGATAGGGTCTGGGATACCAGAGTCCTTTAGCTTTGTACCCTTTGGACAGTAGCATTTGGGATTAAGAAATTGGCATCAGTAAGTTTAGATTAAATTGTTTAAGCCCACATAAGTAATTTAATTTTTAGCCATGTTGTTTCTGAGAGAGAAGACTTCCACACTGGACGAAGCTTTGAAAATCTAAATTATACATTTGAAACCAGATTTTTTTTATTCGTTTAGCTTCACCTTGGTTTCTCTCTTCTCTCCTGGATTTCAGTTCTCATTTACATGTTCATGATCCTGAGTTTGTGACAAGCACATGGCATAGTGCTGAGACTGCTCAGATGACTAAGACCTAAGGAGCTCATAGTCTGGCAGAGGAGAAAGATGTTAGGGAATTACAATATGATATAAGCACCTTCATGGAAATACAGACCAAGCGTAAGGGGATCACAGAGGATATGGCTCATCCTCCTAAAGGAGTCTGGAGCACCTCCCATCGGAGGCGAGCTGTGAGGAATGAGCCCCCACCCTAGGTGGGAGTAGTGGACAGGCACAGGGTATTCAGGCAGAAGAGGAGCAGCAGTGTCCTGAGCTATTGGATGGCCATTACCTGTTTTAGACGAAAGTCCACCTGGAGACTGGCAGTCTCACCATGCTCACATAACACGCTACCACTCTGTCTCCATGCACATTCTTCAGGGATGTAAAGACAGTTTCCTTCAGCTTTAAACAAAATTTTTAAGAGTTAAAAACTGAGTATACAGAAGGGTGTGGGTGCTTTGACAATTTCAGCATCATGACTTTATTTTTGATTTAGAAAGCAATGTGTTTTATGAAAGAGATATCCCTAAAACACCAAGAATATTGGGGATTAGTTGACATGACGTGGGAAATTTTAATGTAAGTTTCTAGATTGCTTTCTCAGAGTTTGATTTTATAAACCGACCTTCATAGCTTCGCAGTATGAAAGTCTCTCTCAAAACTGTGTTCTTCCATTAAAATGAAATTCCCTCTCCATATCTATTCTTGAATTTAAACAGCATGCATTATGTTTTCAGAACACCTCCACCTAAGATTATTACTTTGGAGAAAGGCTCTGAAGGATTGGGGTTTAGTATTGTAGGGGGTTATGGAAGTCCCCATGGAGACCTGCCAATTTATGTCAAGACTATATTTGCAAAGGTATTTTTTCCTTTTTACTATACTTTTTTTTTTTTATCAAACCTAGGTGAGATTTTTTTTAAGTGCTTTGCTTTGCTTTACTTTGGGTTTAACTTGGATGTGCGCATGTATGCTTATTTCATTTGAATATATAGAAAATTCCCATACCAGGCTAGGGCAAGAAAGTTCTTGTATAATAGCAGAGTCACAAAAAGTGTAATTTTCTTTGGATTCTATTACAGAAGGAGATGTTCCTAGATGTTAAAGAGTCTTCTTTCAGCAACACAGAATAGGGAGCAGTGCCTATTCACACTCTTCGGAAGCTAGACTTTGAAATATTGTTCTGGGCTACAAAAAAGACTTGGCTTTCTCCTTTAAGAAAAGATAACAGACACCAGAGGGCTGGGGCAGAAAGCTTCATACAAGCCTCAGATCACTGCAAGCATTAATGGCTGCCCATCACCAAAAACTTGAGGATACTTTAGCTTAAGGTGGTTTCTCTTTTCCACTACCCTGCCAGGTACTTACAGGATCAGCCCAATAGGTTAGACTAAGACTTGATAATAATGTATTCTTCAGGAATGAAATATTACTTCCAATATATCCTAGTTAATTAGTACAGAGGTCATGGTGTCCATTCCCACTGCTGCCTCTAGATAGCTGTTAGAATAATTATTTTTAACTTCATTATAATTTTGAAAATTGGAATTTAATTTTATTATAAATTTTGAAGATCTCCGCCTAGTTAATTAGTACAGAGGTCATGGTGTCCATTCCCACTGCTGCCTCTAGATAGCTGTTACAATAATTATTTTTAACTTCATTATAATTTTGAAAATTGGAATTTAATTTTATTATAAATTTTGAAGATCTCCGAAAGCTATTTAAGTATTGATATTACAACTTTTTTTTTCATTGGTTGTACTACAGTCATTTGTTTATGACTTGATCCAGTTGCCTCCTGGAGTTTTATTTTCCTTTAAAAAAAAAAAAAAAGTCTTCAGAAAGAGAAATAAGATAGATTCTCTTTCTAGAAAGCTATACCATACATTAAACACAAGCTTGCTTTTACCTGTGTAGATCTTATCACCTGTTAATTAGGCCTACTCATGACCTGACATAGAACCCTGAAGTCATTTGGCATTTGCTTATGAACTACATCGGGCAGCTGCAGATTTACCCACTGTTTCATCTTGCTAGAGTGCCTATTAAGCAGGCATGGTCTTCTCAAACACACACCTGTTGAACTGCTGCTAGGCAAAAGGGGGAAGAGGGAAGGCAGCTGAGAAACATTCTGGGTAACAGCGATGCCCCAGCCTAATACTCCCCAAGGTAGATAAACCATATACTGATTACCCTTCTCTTGAGACACTTAACACTATAAGTAGTTGTGATCACTATTCTTCCAGGGGCATTCTTAGATTTTGCTTTTGAAAGAGCCAGCTTTGTAGATAGGGATAGTGGAGAGGTTGCAAAGTTTGCTCCCATGTTTTAGCTAGTCCTGCCGGCCTGCCTTTGCCTCCATAAAGCCCCTCTGGGATGTTTGTAATGACTAGCTCACTTCATGATATCTGTGGGTAGATCAGCTGCGGTCCAGGGAGAGGCTGGTTGGCTTCTGAGGCCTTTTGACCTGGGCCCAGAGTTCAGCAGCTGTCTCAGCTGTACCTATTTACACTTTCACACAGATTGGTGGGATGGGATCCGGACACCTTTTGTCGGGTCACCAGAACATACAGTTGAGAGTGAGATGGCCATGCATTGCTGGTGAATTTTTAAGAGAAATCACCATCAAATCCCAGTGGGACAAGAGTAGTGGGAATAAAGAATGGACTCAAGTTCATATAGAATGCCCTTTTCAAAGGTCCCCATTGAAAGGGCTCATTTAGGCTGGCAGCTGGCTGGTTAGCTCACTTGGGAGAGCATGGTGCTGATAACACCAGGGTCAAGGGTTCAGATCCCCTCCCAGCCAGCTGCAAAAAATAAAAGGGGGCGGGGTCTCATTTAGGAAGCACCTATGCAAGTAAACATTATAAATAATAAATATTGAATATCCTTGGTATGTTTTATTTTTTAAGGAATAGATCATTTTTGTAAAAGGCATACCTAAAAATGAAAAGCTCTGAATTTTGAAAAAAAAGAAAAAGAAAAATCCTAAGCCCTAGCAAATGGCTCACTTCGTACAGTCAGTCTCAATAAAAGAATATGCCAATGCAAATAATAATTATCATCATTATTATTTAGATAGTCCCATAGAGTTTATTATAAGATTGAGTTTGGTGTCTTTCTCTTTCCTTTTTGCTATAGTAAACCAATATGTCCAAATTTTGAAGTTCTCTATAGAGAATCAATAAACCAAAACCTGGCAAAGGAAATTTTTTTTCAATGGTGAAGTCTTTCTAAAATGAATTCTGACACTGAGCTAAACATTTCCCCCATAGGAATTTTGAAGTTCTAGGAACTAGATATATAGGTAGAAGATAGACATTTTCCATGTTTCCTTTACAGTGAACATAAATATATAAATATATATTTTTCTTTTTTCTTTTTTTTGCAGCTGGGCAGTACAGGCATCAAACCCTGGACCTTGCTGTTATCAGCACCATGCTCTAACCAACTGAGCTAACTGGCCAGCTCACACTGAACATACATTCTTTAAAATGTTTCTCTTTTCAGATTTCTGAAGCTCAGATATCCACGGGACATGGATTTTATGTGAACTTTTTGGTGTCCTAAGCTTATTTTAATAGATCTCTTGCTCAACTAAGAAATTATTAAATTTGGGGGCTGGCTGGATAGCTCAGTTGGTTAAATTGCAGTGTTATAACACCAAGGTCAAGGGTTCAGATTCCTGTACTGGCCAGCTGCCAAAAAAAAAAAAGAAGAATCTGGCCCATTGAGGTTTTTTACCCCCTCCAGAAATGTGAAGCATCACAGGCACCTTGGGCATGTAGGAGTTGTGAGACTAAGTCACTCTGATTAACAGGCTATTGAGTCCTTCCATTTTCTTTCAGGTATTTGGTTGGTTGGAAATGTAAAAATCAAAGTCAACCTTAGGTCTTAGTTCTTCAGCAGCTGAATTTTACCCTAAGCCAGCAGAGATTGGCCTAAATAGTTCAACAACTCTAAAAATTTAGGGAGCAGTTTTTCAAAGCCTATAAAATCTGAAACAAGAGTTTGATTGTTATTAGAGTCTCACTTTATTATACTATATTACTGAGCACATACTGAGTCATTACATTTAATCCTTCGAACAGGCCACGGGTAGATAGTAGATGCCCATTTTACAGCATCTGAGAAGGCTGAGTGACCAAGGTGGGACAAATGCTGAGTTGAGCCACAATTCTAGGTGGAGGTCTTTAAGCCATTTATTTCCTCCTTCCCTTTTTTAGTCCACAAATGCCACATTGATAAAGTAGGAGAGTAGATACAAGTCAGTAAGTAATTAGCAAGAAAGCACTGTAATACCTGAAACAGAGTATAAATCCTAGGAAGTTGAAAAACCATCCTTTTTTTGCATTACTAAAAATGAAAATTTGAAGAGTTTAATATGTTTTTTTAAAAACTACGGCTGGCCAGTTAGCTCAGTTTGTTAGAGTGAGACTTATAACACCAAGGTCACAGGTTCAGATCCCCAATATAAGCCAACTGCAAAAAAAAAAACAAAAAAAAACTAATTTACACAGATTTGAGGTTTACTGAAGCCCTTAAATCTTAGCATGTTTTGCCTAGTCATTCTGATTTTATCAGAATATGATATTTTAACTAGTTACTTGTTTAATCCTGTCTTTAGTGCAGTTAATAATTATTTTCTTAAAAGATTTGCATAAAGTTGAAAGTTATTTGATTTTAGTATCCCCCCCCCCCCAGTATAGATCTGGTTTTAAATATTCTTTATTGCACATTCATATAGGAATTTCACCCTTTTCACAATTTAGAAAGTCTGGGTAATTACCCCAGCACCTCAGGACCTTTGTCCTGCAGGTGGTCAGGCATCTCAGGAATACTAGTGCCTCTTTGCTTGGCTTCGAGGGCAAAGTGCCTGTGGACTTGACCTCATGTTAAGGAGTCTTCTGGCACTGACTTTTCAAGGGACTTTAACAGTTACTCCAACAGATGGAGAAAGCCTCCATTTTCTAGATCTTTTCTTCCTTTACCAGTCTAAAATGTTTCTAGTGAGATTGGTTAAGGGACACAAAGAATGATGATGTATTGTAATGATGAATATGCTAATTATCCTGATTTGATCATCTGGTATTATACACAAATTTTGATAGTCAACTCCGTACCCCACAAATATGTATTATCAATTATGTTTCAATAAAAAAGGAAAGTGTATAGCTATGAAAAATTTTAAAAATGTTTCTAGTAATATGGCATTTTAAGATACTCAGCTTCAGAATGAAAAAAAAAACTTTCGCTTGCTTTGTGCCATTTTGAGGAGCCATGCATGACGGAGTATATAATAAAAGTAGTCATTTAGAAACCTATTTGATGATCAAAGATGAAGTTGAAGCTTTTGAATGTATTATAAAATTTTTAGAAATGCTACAATTTTATATATTTAATATATACAAGGGTACTTTTAAAAGTTCATGGAAATATACATATTATGTTTTAATTCCATTTTTCCATTAAGTTTTTGAGGTAGCCTTGTGTATGTGTATATAACAACTTTATTGAGATATAATTCACATATCATACAATCCAGCCATTTAGAGGCTATACTTATTTTTGACAGATCACAGTACTGATAGCTTAATAATGCAATAGGAAACCTATATAATGATGGTACTAGGAATAAGACTAACATCAGATTCAGTTCTATCTGCCTTTTTTGTATATTAATATTTCCATGAATATGACATCCAATTCCATTTAATACTGAATATTGAAATAAGGTTCTGCTTGTATTAAAAGAAATGTGAGTGTCAGTAGATTTCTACTAGTATTTATGTAAATGATTCATAATTATGGTTACTATTCAACCATTATTCAAACAATATACTCTGCCTTTTTCTTAATTTAAAACATTACCTAGAAAAAACTTTAATTGGTAGTTTTTAAGGCTACTCTTCTAATATGCACATCAGACACTAATTAGAGGTTTTAATATTAATTTAATATAAACTGCTTTGCTCTGGATTAAACTGGAATGTTTCTTGTTTGTAGGGAGCAGCTGCAGATGATGGCCGATTAAAACGAGGCGATCAGATTTTAGCTGTTAATGGTGAGACCCTGGAAGGTGTTACTCACGAGCAAGCTGTCACCATTCTAAAACACCAGAAAGGGACCGTAACCTTAACTGTGCTGTCGTGAGCCTTGGGTCCTGATCACAAGACAGATGTTGCTGTTTAGAATATCCACAGGAAGATGAAGCTCTGGGTGGGATGAAAAGCAACCTCAATGAAAATTTACCTTTATTCTTACCATCTCATCCTCCCTGCTCAGAAGAGGAGGCTGAGGTTTCATGTGAATTTCCCAGATCAACAATGATCTGCCTAATGTTTCCAGCTTCTGTCACCTATTAGTGAAAGTTAATGGTAAAACTTAAATGAGTCTTAGCTGTTTTGCATTTAACACCGATGTTTGCCAACTAGTAATAACTGGTTCTGATTATATTTGCCAAAACTGGAGTTAACAACCTCTCATTCCTTATACCCTTCTCTCCCCATCCCCTACTCATACAGAGGCTTTACAGCAACCTCACATCTCATTTGATGAACAGAAACAAATGTTAAGCAACTTGTCATCTCACTCATGATTTACTTATGCTAATTGTCTCTTCAAGTAAGCCAGAAAACATTAGCAGCATAATTAACTTACCAGTGATCCCCAGGATGAAATGCCAAATTCTCTCCTATGGGAAATTACTGTGTTCTCTTCTGTACAACTTATAGCCAAATAAGTTTCAAATTCATTTCTCTGGATAGATCTTTATATGTTATCATTGGTGATTTTGATGAGTCAAGATCTGAAAGGCTTTCTAATTGTTTTCTGAGCTACATAAATGCATATCACTGAGCAAATGCACCTTATTCTCAACAGGAACAATTAGCATCCATGTTCTGAACTCTAACAATGCTAAGTTATTTTCAAGTCTGGGAAGTTCATCGGGAATTAATGGTGTCTCAATAGGCAGACACCCTTCCCACCCCTCAGCCTTCAAACAAGGAGGCAGAAGCCCCAGAACCACACTGCAGAGATCAGTAAGTTTTGCCTCAAACCAGATGAGGTCTGTGTGGCATTGGCCTTGTGCAAAGTAGAGTGACAAAGTTGATTATCCTTCCCTTTACCTCCATGCCAGCCAGTGCAGCAGAAACCTAGATAAAGCAACATGTTAGCTGCAAAGTGACTGAGCAAACAAAATGACCTAGGAATCAGTGATGAAGATGCTTGGCTGCTGTGTCCTGGTCTCCAGGGAGTCTCCCGTTTGATGTTTTGCATGCTAAGAAAGCAACTACAGTGGAAAATATAGGAATACCTTTAAAGTTGATTATGGGTATTCTTATTCACATATTAGCAGGAAAAGCAGGGAGATGCTCATCATTGAATGCTGTAGGGTACTCTATAAAAAAAGTGCCATGAAGGATGAGTACCAGGGACAGTAATAGAAATAATTCAGCATTATTTAACTATAACACAGTGCTGCAAATTGTTCACAGTAATTCTCAAAGTTTAATGGACTCTAATTTAAAATGTTATTTAATAAGTATAGATATTGAAAATTATCTTTGAGTAGGTGTAATCACAAAGTGCATTAACTCTTTTTGGAATATTTTGTGGCTATTCCAAAGTATAGAGTGCCTAAATTTTATGTTGAAAATGTTTTTCATGACTGGTATTAAGTTTTCTGAAATTACACATGGCTTTTGAAATTTCTAATGTATCTAAGATATGCAGTGTTGTTAGGATCTCATCTTTCAGTGCATGAGAAGCTACCAACCTCAGAATGTTCTATATCAATTATATTTGCAAGAACACCTCAGGCAGCCAAGAAGAAATGAAACCCAAATAAAACTTGAAAATGCACCTTAAAATATATACATATATATATACTTTTAAAATGTGATTCTGCTTGATTCTGATGGAATGGCAATTAAATATACATTTTGAAGTAATACATTGTTGTTGTGTTTCTTTATACACTGCCCTTTTAGGTCATGCTACTAAAAGTCTATTGATAAAGGAATTGTGATGTTTTATACTTCTTGCTGCAGTAAACTGACAGAACTAGTGTTTTACATAACTGGTTCTGTCTCTGCTTGCATGACTAATAAATAATTGCCTTGCCAAAAGGAATTTTTTGCATCAGAACTTACCGACAAGCTGAGAGAATATGAAGATGGAAATCTGTGAAAGAAGTAATTTTCTTATAATGACATATATTGTTTTAGCCTCATCATTTGGGCCACTTAAGTATAACAATGATATCATTAATTGGAGTTAGCATGAGAGGGAAGTAAACCAGGAAAAAAACTGCTTAATGTTTGTACATAAGATGTTATTTAATATCCTAAATAAATGTAGTTGCCTAAGGAGTAAATGGAGTCTCATTATATATGAAAAAGTTTAATTTCTGTGTCTGATTTTGTTTTTTCTTCAACCTTTTGTTCCCTAATAAAAAAAAAAATCAACTTTTACACCGTTTTCCAGTGCTGTTAAAATCTGGAATCCATTTAATAGTCATCTCATGTATTAACTGCCAGCTGTGTTGTCAGGCATTAGAACAAATGCATTACAAAGGAGCTAGTAGGGTAGTTCGAAGGGCACGTGTTGGCATCACACTGCCTGAGCTTGAGTCCTAACTTACTAGCTATGTGACCTTATCCAAGTCATTTAATCACCCTGTGCTTTAGTTTCTTCAATTAGAAAGGGGGGCAAGGGGTTTCCAAGTGCTCTAATAAGTAAAATCAAAGTAGAACCCTTAGTGCAGTCCCCTGTTCATAATAAGTACTACCTAAATATTAGTAATAAGTGTCTTATCCCATTTACAGAGGTATTCTGAAATTAGAATCTTACGCTGGCGATTAGTGGTTTCAATCAGTAATGACCTCTTGAAAATACATATTTCTGAGGATGGCTTACCTCTGAACTGTAGCCCAAAATCAAGTAGCAAAGTGTGAAACTGATTATAATGGTGTGGGTTTGAGGAACTAGAGCTTGTGCTCTCAAAAAGAGCGACTGGCTGTCAAGTTAGCTCAGTCAGTCAAAGCATGGTGTTATAACATCAAGGTCAAGGGTGATCCCCATACCGGTCAGCTGCCAAAAAATAAAGTCACTTGATAACTCTTAAAAAAAAAAAAAAAAACCCCAGCAACTGAGCTGCAAGCAGGGCTTCCATCATCAGCCAGGCCATTAGGGTAGGGAGGAATATCAACTCCATAGTCCTGCCCCCCCACCTCTGGGACAAGACAAGGCATGTCAACTACCAGCAACCCTTTGGCAAGTAATTTTAACCTGGTACGCACCCTAATCCCAGGAATTTGGAATTGCACACTGCTGTTATTTTAACGCAGCTACCCTCCCAAGCAGCACTTCTTGCCTTCTCCCTGCCCATTCATTGTCAAAGAATTCAGTCTCCCCTCACCAGATGATAAGCTTCTTTGGAAACAGATACTAGGTCAGATTCGTCTTCATGTTGATTCCATGCAGTGTACTTTGCAAATACGGTATGTTCCATCTTTAGAAGTTTTATTTGGAGGGCCGGCCCATGGCTCACTTGGGAGAGCATGGTGCTGACAACACCAAGACAAGGGTTAAGATTCCCTTATCGGTCATCTTTTTATTTAAAAAAAAAAAAAAAGTTTTATTTGGGCCTTTTTTTATACCTTCATTTCCCATCTCATGTTCATGTTTTCCTTTATATCATGGTTCCACAAACTTTTGGTGTAAAGAACCAGATAGTAAATATTTTAAGCTTTGCGGTCTTTGTCACAACTACTCAACTTTGCCATTGCAACATGAAAGCAGCAATAGACAGTACATAGATAAATGAGCTTGGCTTTGTTTCAATAAAACTATTTGTAACAAGCAGCAAGCCCAATTTGGCCTGTAGGTCATACTTTGCCTCTGCCTTATATACCTGATTATATTTTAAGATTTATAATTAAGATCCTCTCTACTAATTTCATCATCTGTGACACTCTTGGGACTGTTTCTATTGATTGATTTATCTTTCCTGGTTATGGAAGGGTCTTTTCTGCTTTATGTGCCTGATAATTTTTTTATTGGATGCCAAACATTGTAAAATTTAATGGTTAGGTGCTGAATTCTGTTGTATTCCTTTAAATAGCATTGAACTGTTCTTGCATGCAGTTAAGTTACTTGTGATCAGTCTGATCCTTTTAAGTCTTGTTTTCAAGCTTTCTTAGGGTGGGTCTAGGTCAGCCTTTAATTTAGGGAGTAATTTTGCCCCTTAATTAAGGCACTAATTTAAGAATTCTACCCAATGCCTGTGTGTTGTGAGGTCCTTCCACTCTGACAGGTAGAAACTATTCATGGCCCTGTCTAAACTCCAAGAATTGCTTTCTGGAGCTGCTTTTCTGGCCTTGAGGGTTTCCCCTCTTGCATGTGCAGATTAGTAGTCAACAAAGAGCAGATCTCCATAGTGTTCTCTCTGTGTAGCTCCTTTCTGTTCAGTACTCTGCTTTACAAATTCTAGCCATCTTGGCCTGCCTGAACCTTGATCTCTCTCTCCTGTACTCGTGGGGTCTGTTTGAGTTCCCCCTTCCTGAGAGTGGCCTGGATACTACTTCAGACATTGAACTGGGTCAGTTGTAGAACTTAATTGTTTCTCTTCTTCTGGGGTTCAAAATCCTGTGCTGCCTGTTGTCTAATGTCTGAAAACCGTCGTTTCAAATATCATGTCCAGGGGCCGGCTCGTGGCTCACTTGGGAGAGCGTGGTGCTGACAACACCAAGTCAAGGGTTAAGATCCCCTTACCCTCTTCTTTAAAAAACAAAAAAAACCCCAAATATCATGTCCAGGGGCCGGCTCGTGGCTCACTTGGGAGAGCGTGGTGCTGACAACACCAAGTCAAGGGTTAAGATCCCCTTACCCTCTTCTTTAAAAAACAAAAAAAACCCCAAATATCATGTCCAGTTTTCTCCTTGCTTACTACCATGTGAGGGCGATTCCCATAGCACTTAATCCTTCAGGCGTGTGGTGTTATAAGATTGCACTTCAACCAACTAAACTAACTGACCAGCCCTGTGAGACTTTTGAAGTCAAATTTTTAAATTTAGGTTATACTTCCAGTTTTATGTCAGCCTAGTGCAAATGTTAAGTTTTTGACAGTTTGACTTGTAATTTCCTTAACTTTTTGTCTTTTTATTTTTATTTTTGGCAGCCGGTGGATTCAAGGATCCAAACCCTTGACCTTGGTCTTATCAACACTGCACTCTAACCAACAGAGCTAACCAGCCAGCCTTGACTTGTAATCTTCACATGCTCTATATTTAAGCAAAGACAAAAAAAGAAACATTTCACTATCTCCACAATGCCAAGATGAACTAACATTTGGATGAGTCATTTGTGTGTGTGACAGTGTGTAAAGCCTTTAACCCCCACCTATTCTTTTTTTTTTTTTTTTTCTCTTTTTGTCTTTTTTACTGACCGGTAAGGGGATCGCAACCCTCGGTGTGGCGCCCGCACCGCGCTCAGCCAGTGAGTGGGAACCGGTCTCCACATGGGATCCGAACCCTCGGCTGCGCTGCGCACTCTCCAGTGCGCCACCGGGCCAGCCCATCCCCCACCTATTCTGAACAGCGCTTCCATTTCCAGTCACGTTGAGGAGCAAGCCAGCTGCTTTGGGCTTCGGGCCCTAAGATGTCAAGTATCAGGAAGCATGCTAGACAAAATTATGCAGCAGCAAAAATTTCTTTGATCCTCTTTCTAGAATCAGATTTTTAGAAATGGTGGCAACCGCAGCATCAGAAGGGCTGGCCAGTGTTAGCTCAGT